AAGCATTTCTCTCTGGACTGTTTCTGGGATGCTTATCTGGCTCCTGAGTTAAGACCCACACCTCTGGCAAGGGACATTCCAGCTGGGAGAGGCACAGGCCGGGAAGCCCAGGAAGAGGCAGGCGTAACCACTTCTGCTTGGCCTTGTGGCTGGCTACAGCAGAAGTGACGCTGAGCCTCAGCCAAGCTGAAGCATCATGAGGCCCTATTTGCTCAGCCTGCTTTCCTGGAACCCTGCCCCTACCATGGAAAACAAGCCAGGCCAGCCCGCTGGAGGATGAGAGGCCAAATGGAGCAGCAATGAGTCGTCGCAGTTAAGACCGTTTTGCTCCAGCCATTCGCAGCTGAATGCAGATGAATGAGCAAACCCAGCCTCGATCAGCTGAGCCAGGCCAGCCCAGCAAAACATTTACAGTCGCAAACACCCGTGAGGTTTTGTAGTTATTTGTTAGGCAGCATGATTGTGGCCACAGATGACTGAGGCCACACTTACATAAAAAACACATGGGGACCAGGCTTGGTGGCTCACACCAGTAATCCCAGCACTCGGAGGCCGAGGAGGGTGGATCACGAGGTCAGGAGATAGAGACCATCCTGGACAACATGGTGAAACCCCATCTCTACTAAGAATACAAAAATTAGCCAGGCGTGGTGGCATGTGCCTGTAGTCCCAGCTACTCAGGAGGCTGAGGCAGGAGAATCACTTGAATCCGGGAGGCGAATGTTGCAGTGAGCAGAGTTCTTGCAACTGGACTCCAGCCTGGCGACAGAGCAAAACTCAATCTCAAAAAACAAACAACCAACCAAACCAACAAACATAAACATGCAGAAACAGAATCCCATCAAGACAGGAGTACAGTATTTTAAATGTGGCACATATTTGGGCCTAATTCGGTCCAAGAGCTGCTTGACATTTAAACTGCCCTTCTGCGACAATTAAAACAGCTGAAACACTTTCTTTGTTTTCACCGTCATTTCAAGAGCTGCCAAGGCCATAAAGGTGAACTTCAGGTGATAATGAGTGCAAGAGAAGGATTAAGAAAAAGAATTATGGTAGCTTTCACTGCCTCAAGTCAGAGCGAACAGAACAACCATGAATCCAGGAGGCATCAGGAGCACCCTTTGAATATTACAGAGCAATTATTTGACAAATATTTACATGTTGCATATTAAATCACACAATGCTTTTAGAGCAATAAATATTTGAGAAAGAAAATGGTGTGCTGAGCCGCATCCAACATTCTACCAATCTCAGGAGGCAGGAGAGAATGCATTTTCTTAAACAAAACACATCTGACCCTTAGTCACCCAGACCAAATGGAAAGCCTGTTAGCTCAGGCAAAGCTCCCTTCTTAAATGCCCAGAGATGAACAGCTCAACAAGCACGTCCCAGAAAAGTTTAGACTTCTTTAGAGAAACTTTCCTCCTGGAAAGCCGGCTATGGGTGGTACCCATGAGCTGGCATTCTGTCATTAATGCAATCACCCCTCCACTGCACCAAAGCTCTCGGGCCTTCTTTAAGGTTTGCACTGTCATAATCATGACAAGCTTGGAGACCAGGCCTCGGCAAGGTTACCGCCCCAAGGTCTTTGCACAAGCAGTTCCTTCTAACTGCTGTTTCCCCCAGATACCTTCTCTGCTCAAACGTCACCTGCTCTCTGAATGACCATCCTACTTATAATTTCAGCCCTCAATATCTGAATGCCTGCATTCTGCTTGCTCGGCTCCAGGTTCTGTAGGCTTGGACAAGGGGAGACAGAAGCCTCCCCGGGAAGGTGCCCTTAAAACAGGATCCTGTAGGCCGTGAGAGGGTAGCCTGCTGCCATTGAGGAGGCTGGACACCGTCCTGCAGAAAGCAGTCTGCTTCCCAATTTCCTAGGTCTCACACCTGTAAACACAGGACTTTGGGAGGCCGAGGCATGCAAATCATGAGGTCAGGAGATCGAGACCATCCTGGCTAACATGGTGAAACTCCGACTCTACTAAAACACAAAAAAATCTGCCAGGCATCGTGGCACACGCCTATAGTCTCAGCTGAAGCAGGAGAATCACTTGAATCCAGGAAACAGAAGTTGCAGTGAGCCAAGATCGCGCCATTGCACTCCAGCCTGGGCAACAGAAAGACTCCATCTCAAAAAAAACAAACAAACCAACAAACAAAAAAACGCTAGGACTCTCAAAGGCAGGGACTGCTGGATTCAGCTTTGAGTCTGCTGGAGTACCTAGCAGGAGGAGCACAGTAGGTCTTCGATAAACACTTTGGCAATGACTCACTCCATTTGCCACAGAGCAGGGCATTTGGGTTTTGCCACACTTGATCCTTTCAGCCGTTTTTCAGGAATATAGAGGCTGTTTGGTCAACAGCCTTGGAAGCTAATGAAAAGAATGGAGGCTCCTGCCTCGCTCCCCGCTCTGGCCCCCCAGAGAATAGAACACAGGCCGTGCTCAGTCCGATCCAAAGATGAAAGAATCCAGGGGTCTCGAAGTTAGCAGGCTGTGTCCGGGCTACATCATTATTTTATGTGACACAGAGAAACAAAAAAGTCTTCATTTCTGCTGTAATCAAGGGGGAAGAAAAGCAGAGAGAGAAAAAGCCTTGCCTGGCAGACGACAAAACAAAACAAAACTAAAAGTGGAAGGTGCTCTCTTCTAAGCCAAGAGAAGAAGGCAGGTGACTGAGAAACTAGACAAGACCGCACACGCAGGCCTGGGCCAGGCCTTCTCAGAGCCCTGTGTGCACTAAGCCAGCTTGCGCTCACATCCTAGGAGGCAGCGGCTGCCGTTATTCCTGTGTTACAGACCACGAAACCGAGCACAAACCTGCTGAGAGGCTGGGGCCAGCCTCCTGTGCCACAGCCCTCCTCTGCCCCTCTGCTGTTTACAAACATTTATGTTTTGCCCCTAAAGAAAACATCATACAAAGGTGAGCCAGTGGAGCCCTAGAGTGGGAATTGGGCAAGCCAGGCCCCTCCTGTGCCCATTCCAGCCCACTGGAGAACACCAGGCTGCCCAGGACAGGGGGAGAGACCTACCCCACTGATACCTTTATGAACTTGAACTTGGTGGGGGTTCCTTTAAAGCTGGCCCCCATACCAGCTTTCACAAAGCAAGGGGGTTTCTGATACACACATCTGGGCCTGAAAACTCACAGTTCAACCGAAAGTAGGACTCAAGAAACAGCCCCTAGGACCTCGGGAGGGGCTCCAAGCCCTAATCACATGCCAGCCAGGGCATCTGCCGCCTGGGCTGGGGGAGGGGGTACTGCAAGAAGAAGGGCTCCAGGTGATGCTACCCACAGGGACCCCACCTCAGGTCTCACTGCCTAACATGTGACAAGCACAGACCCTTCCTCCAAGTTCACATGCTATGTGACATGGCTTGGCTGTGTCCCCACCCAAATCTCATCTTGAATTCCCACATGTTGTGAGAGGGACCCAGGGGGAGGTAACTGAATCACAGGGGCAAGGTAGTACAAGAGGAAAGTGTGGCCGGGCGCGGTGGCTCACGCCTGTAATCCCAGCACTTTGGGAGGCCGAGGTGGGTGGATCACGAGGTCAAGAGATCGAGACCATCCTGGTCAACATGGTGAAACCCTGTCTCTACTAAAAATACAAAAAATTAGCTGGGCATGGTGGTGCGTGCCCGTAATCCCAGCTACTCAGGAGGCTGAGGCAGGAGAATTGCCTGAACCCAGGAGGTGGAGGTTGCGGTGAGCCGAGATCGCGCCATTGCACTCCAGCCTGGGTAACATGAGTGAAACTCTGTCTCAAAAAAAAAAAAAAAAAAAAGAGGAAAGTGTGACATTCGAGGGCTTCCCATTCATCTAAGTGCAGCCCAGATCACAGTCGGGGCAAACCACCTGCCCCACCCACTGCAGGATAAGCCAAAGTCACAAGGTGACCCGGGTTCCCAAGTCAAAGCATATGTTTTCTGTCAGCTGCAGGCTCCTGAGCAAAGCATTTGCTTTCGTGCTAGGCTGCCTCTGCAGATACCGCGGACCTTGGAGAGGATAAAAATCAGGTGAGAACGCTGCCATTTGCCCACTGAGCACAGACTAATGGGGACTTGGCCCCCGTGGACACTGCAGTTTCCCCTTGAAGCGCTTGCTCGGTGGGGTGTGTTCCACCAGCCAGTCCTTCTCAAGCCTTCTTAGGCCAACTTTTTCTTTCCTTTTCTAAACAACTCTTGCTTTCTCAGAGTCATGTCATAACCGATGGATAGCCTGTGCCTCCCTCCACGCGGCCTGCCCTACCCGAGTGGATGCCCGCGGCTCTGCTGCTCTCCCAGGCTCTGCCTCTGGGGAGCCCTGGCTGGCACTGGCTCGCGGAGGTGACCGTGCAGACAGAAGAGCCAGAGATAAGGTTGGCTAGTCGCGGCGCGCATGCCGCAAGGCTCAGTGCAGGTGGGCAGGGGACCAAGCAGTCGTGGCGAGGGAGGAAACTGTTGCTTCCAAATCATCGCGGCTCGAGGAGCCCATCTGTGCCCTAGCGTGTTAGGGCAAGGGCGGCGGCCCAGGGGGCAAATGGGGAGCTGGCAGGAGGGATTGTCGCCTGCAGGCCAGGAGGAACGGTCCCCAGCCAGGGGCCCAGGGAAAGGTAACGGTCAGGAGGGGACCGGGTTGAAGAGACCCCACAAGAAGCCAATCCTGGATTGCAGCGGGAGCCGCCAGCGCGAATTCTGAGTCAGGAGGTCCCTGGGGGCCAATAAACGAGGAGGGGACGCGGTGAGGATGCCGGACTGGCAGCGTTTCCTGCCGCGCTGCCACATCGGGCATTTTAAACTGCCCCCTCCTCGCACCGCGTCCCCCAGCCTGGGACCGGGAGGCCACCCAGGGCTCCCCGCGCACCGCGCTCCCAAACAGCCAGGAAAAGCCGCTCCAGGGCGCGGCAGAGTGACCGAGGGACCAGTCCAGAGCCAGGACCTGCGAGGATCGAGGATGCGGTGGGGAGGAGGTGAGCAGGGGCAGCGGGGGGACTCAGATCTGCGGGGCCGTCCGCTTACCCGGCCGTTGCGGTCTGTCTCCTGCGCCTCCTCGACGCTCACCCCGCGCCGCACCAGTGCCCGCAGCAGCCCCACGTCGTTGGCGCAGGCGGCGCGCAGGAGGCTCGCCGCCTCCGGGACGCCCTCCGGGACGCTCTCTGCGCTCTCGACGACTTGCTCCTCCTCGTCCTCGAAAGGGTAGAAAGAGTCGTCCGAGGCGATGCTGCGGGTGTCAGGCAGACTCGAGAAGTCCTCGAACTCTTCGTAGTCAGTGTGGTCCTCCTCGACCTGCGCGCCCCGGGGTGGGGACGGCGGTGGCGGGGTCATGCAGCGCGCCCCGCCGCCCTCCGGCCCGGTCCCGGCCAGCAGCACCATGCCGGCGGCCGGGGCGCGGGCCGGGGGCCGGGGCGCGGGCCGGGAGAGCCGGGAGCTGGGCGCGCGCCGAGGTCCCCACTTCACCCTGCTGCGTCCCCAGAGAAGCTGTGGCCCGCGCGCTACAGCCTGGCGGAAACCGGCGCCAGGCGGCTGCGCTCAGCGAAAAAAGTCAGCGGAGGCTGAGCGAGTCCCTGGGGTGGGCGGGACCGCGGGGGCTTTCCGAGGCGGCGCGGGGCGGGGCGGGGCGGGGCGGGGCGCGGCGACACGCCCTCCCCCGGGGCCTCCTCCGGGGCCTCCCGGGGGGCCTGTTCCTGGCCGGAGTTGAGAGTGAGGCAGGCGCAGTCTGCTCTCCCAAGCGCCGGCACGGGGCACCTGGCAGCGTTACCCCAGAGCTGGGGACAGCTCGCGCAAGACAAGCAGAAGCAAAATCTCTAAAGAAGCGGAAACCGAGTCGCGGGTGGCAAGCGGCCCAGCACCCCAACTTCGGCGACCCGCGGAATGGGGGCGGATGTGGCGGCGGGGGAGCGTCGGGGGCGGAACCGGCCTCCAGCTTCGGGAATCTCGGACGTCTGGAGCCGGCCCCCGCTGAGGGCGTCGGGCCGTGATGGGGCCAGTTTCTCCCGCCGCTTAGGAGGCGCCTAGCGGGTTTTCTCACCTTGGGGGGATCCCGGACTCTGGGGCGGACTCCACCCGGCAGCGGCCGATTTGGGGCCGGGGAATCCCCGGGGCGCTCGCTAGGCGGGCGGAGGAGGCGGGCGCGGGAGTGGATCCGTTCACCTGGGACCGGGGCCAGGGAGCGCTGCGGGGCTGTCCGCTGCCGTGGGGGAGTCCCAGCCCTGAGGGGAGGACGATCCTCAGAGTCCCCCAGACACGCGGAACCCGGGCCGGCTGTGGCTTGCGGGTTGATGGGACCCTGGGCTTGGGATTCGGGTGTCCCGGAACCTCAGGGGGAGCCTCTGGCTGGGAACGGATCGCTGGAGCCCCAGCGGCGAGGAGCCCCCCACCGCCACGCCCGGCCTGTGTCTCGTGCTGGGATCTGCGGGATTCACCCCCGGAGTTTGCAACCGGGCGTTGACCCCGCGGCTGGCTGCCCAAAAGAGCAGGGCCGCGGGCGACAGCCGCAGTTCAGGCCCAGCTCCCCTCCATCCGGGCCTTGTCCTCTTCCCCATCTGTCCAGGCGCCGCGGCCTGGCCGAGAGGAGGAGGGCCTGCGGGGATTTGCCACAGGGAGCCCTTGACTTTGGGGTAGGAGGCGTCGTGAGCCAATATTTGGGGAAAGTCTATGCGCATAGGCGCGGTGGTGCGTGCGCGCCCGTCGCAGGTGAGAGGCTGCGGAGTCCACCAGCTCTGTGTCCCTCTAGCCTCCTTCCTTCCTTCCTTTCCCCGATCTTGACAGCGCGTCCACCTGGTGCCAGCGGGTGGTAGGCCCTCGCGGCCCCAAGGTGACCACAGCTAGACGGGCGCGGCCGCTAGGGACAAGGCTTGAGGCCCACGTGCCTCTGGGCAAGCTGAGGGGCAGGAGAGCACCGCATCCAAAACAGCCGTGGGAGGTGTGGGCTGCGTACAGGTGTAAACTGCAAAGGCTCTCCAGCCGCGGAGTCACACCGCACTGGCCTGACCCGCTGTCCTGGTCGCCTGGTCCTCCAGTGACTCCGCCAGGATCGGAAGGGCCTGGTGCCGGCCCAGGACTCTCCCGGGACCCAGGCACGTGCGCGCCCCGGAGGGTCGGACGCCGGAGAACAGCGATTCCCGGAGATGACGCCCTTGCACCTGAGCGGCTCTGAGCAAGCAGCGAACTGAGCCTCGCTGGTCTTCTACTCAACTCAGGGCATTCTTTCTGAAAGCAAAAATTGCCTCAAGATTATGGTTTACCCTCAACCTTTTTGCGTAACTGACCAGAGTTTGCATCAGTTCCCACTGGGAATTTCTCCTTTCAAGGTTGAAGGTTGTTTCCAAAGGCCTGGGGTATTTACAAGTTCAAGTACCCGCTGAGGGCTGAAGTGGGTTTGCTGGACCCACTGTCCGTCACTTTACAGCAAGAGCCCCCCGCTGCGCCTTGCCAGGGCCCAGGCTGACTGACAGGCCCGATCCCTGAGAGGGGAGCACCGCGCAGCCTTTTCTGGCATCCTGCAGGCAATCGGTACTCCTTGACCGCGTCACTCAGCAAGGGAATTGAGACTCTATCTTCAGAGTTTACCAGTTCCTTCTTTTCTTTCTTAGAAATTTGAGTCCAAATAGCATTTGAATGTGTTTCCCCTTAAAATAAGCTAAAATGTCATTGTCTGCTCCAAAGAAGAACTATCGTTTATAAATGGTCTGATTCAGAATGCAAGCTGATCGTTTTCCTGTGTTTAAAAAATAAACCGCTAAGAAGAAATAATAAGTAAAAAATAAAATATGCTCCTTTTACAACAAAGACAGTAGAGTCTGAACATTTCTGTAAGATGGGCTAAAAGCGGCCGGGCGCGGTGGCTCAAGCCTGTAATTCCAGCACTTTGGGAGGCCGAGGCGGGTGGATCACGAGGTTAAGAGATCGAGACCATCCTGCTCAACATGGTGAAACCCTGTCTCTACTAAAAATACAAAAAATTAGCTGGGCATGGT